GGCCGGCCCGACACTGTGTATTTTTCTCTAGAGTGTGTCCTCGCATGTCACCCCATCGTGCCATCATTCATGTACTTGTCTCTGCTCTGTCCACGACGTAAGCGCCTGGGGGGCGGGGGCTGCGTCTTCTTCATCTCTGTAGCTGCAGCTTCTATCCCAGAATAAATGTTCAATGAGCGCCATTTCCTTTGGGCTCCAGCACGATTTTCTGGGTCACAGGAAATGTCTTTTCAGTCCACCCCCAACACTCCAGCGCCTCAAGCCAAGGCCTCCCCTCCTCGGGTCCCAGGTACGGGCGCCCCAGTCAGTCTCTTTGGGGGGCGCCCAGCATCACTTTGCTCTTCATCCATCGGTTTCCGCTCAGTCCCAAGTGGGAATTCAAATGCATCCGCATTTGCACTTAAGCATATTTGCGTTTATCTGATCTGTCAACCCGAGGCTTGAAACCACAGTTCCATTATCTTGTTATCAAGAGAAATAAAATGAACACCCCAGAGATGAGCTCCACTGCAATCTGAGGATAGCAGGGGAATGGTGGTAATAATTCTCTAGGCCTAATCACCACCCATCAGCCCTGGAATAGTGCTAGCATGTATTGACTGTTTTATACGTGCTGATCAGAACACTAAGAGGATACGTGGAGTAACATTCGGCATTCCCAGCTGTATAAAAAACCCACTACTTAGAGTTGTGGGCCCCTCAGTCATTACATGGCTTCTTTTTGCCTCCTTTTCCTCATGAGTAAAATGGAGACAGTCGCGGTACTTGTAACAGTGATTAAACGAGTTGTTATATATGGATGTTTAGCAAGCTCCCAAAATGTGACCTGCCCCACCCCCATCGCCAAAGTTCATCGGAACCTGAGGTTATTGATCAGTCCCAACCACTGGGCTCTACTAGCTCAGAGTTGCTGTGTGGCTCAAATTGGCAAGGGACTAGAACTAAAACCAACAGGTAGAAGGAAGAGGAGGCAGAGGTCTACTCATTCTAACTATGTTCTCCTAATAAAGCATTTCCAGTGATAGACTGCAGCCACTTTACTTCTTCTCCACCTTTGAGAAACTACCATTCAGCTGTAGAAGGAGGCGTAAAAAAAATATATGCATGGAAGCCTTGTTTGCAATAGTGAAAATCGCAACAACCTACATGCTCATCAATTTAGGGATGGCTAAATAGACTGTGGCAGATCCAACCTACAAATGATGAAGGCATAATGACAAGAAATTATATGGCTGTCTACCTGTGAACAGCACTGAGTCACTGCTCTAAGTGCTTACATGAGTCAACTTTCATCCTCACCAGAACCTTATGGATACAGGAATATTAATACTATAATCCCAATGAACAGGGGAGGAAACTGAGGCTAAGGGATGTTTAATAATTTAGATCACACAACTAACAAGTTGATGAAGCTGTGATTTGAATCCAGACAGTGGCTCCAGAATCCACCCTCTTAACCATTCCACTAATTTATTGTTGACTTAAAAAAAAAAAAAGCAAGGGGCAGAAAGACACATAAAGTATGCTATTTGTGTAAAATATACACACAATACAATACTACATTGTTTCCAAATATGTACATAAAGGCAAGGAAATGACCTATTAAAAAAAATCGCACCAGGGCCGGCCAAGTGGTGCGATGGTTAAGAACTGGCTTGGGACGCCAGAGGGCCCCGGTTCGGATCCCACATATGAGGGCCAGTGACACTGCCCTCCACAGCTAAGATGCTGAACAACAGCTCAACCTACAGCTGGGCTGCCATGAGTCGCCAGCGACGGCGTAGGCTGCAGCCCCTGTGGCAGTGGGTTGCCATGGGCTACCATATGTGGCCAGCAGCCAGCGTGAGTGGCCAGCAGCCAGCGTGAGCGGCCAGCAGCCAGCGTGAGCGGCCAGCAGCCAGCGTGAGTGGCCAGCAGCCAGCGTGAGTGGCCAGCAGCCGCTGTGAACAGCCGTCCAGAAGCCAGCGACTGATCTGCCTCGCCTGGGAAGAGCGCAATGATGGTGCCAACTTGGGCCAGTGAAGCAACATCCTCCACAACTAGACTGAAGAACAAAAGGACAGCAACTTGTCTGTTCCCCTTCCCCCAATTCCCCAGTGCTGTTCCCATCCCCCCAATACCCCAATAAAAATCTTTAAAAAAAAAATCGCACCAAATTACAACACTGGTTGCCTGTGTAAAGGCAACAAAGATTTAGGAACAAGGATCAGGAATGGTGACCAGGAAGAATTTCACCCTGATCTAAAGTGTCTAAAAGTTTTAAAAGAATGTATTCCTGTATTACAGAAGGATTAGAAACATACAAAATAAAAATAGCCAGAAGGAACTAGCTACTTCAGGATTAAATGAGTTCCCGAATGCTAAAAGCATTATATACTTACATGCCACTCTTAAGGGGGTGTATAGAGGGGACTCAAGCATCAGTGAGGACTGGACCATCCAAGCTGGCTGTCACCTAGGCAAATAAACACAGCATGCTCCAAATTACTCAACTTTTATCATCCAATTTCTCACCCTTCGTCTCTCCTAATTCCAGGAAAAACATCACTTACACTTGCCTAAATGTAATTATAACTCCTTGTAATCTCTGTCCATTTTTCTAACTCTAACTTCTGTACGCATGCTAAGTAACTTTTAACTATTCTGCCACAGCCTTTGAGTCATTTGAAGATGGCTATTCATTGACTCCTAGTCGTGGCCTTGGTGGTGGGGAGAATAAGGGCGATGGTGGTGATGGTGGTGGTGGTGATAATGAGAATGACATGTGGCAGCAGTAGTGGGGGTAATAATGGTGGAGATGGTAAGCGATGGTGGTGGAGGTGATGGTGGTGGGAGTGTAGAAGATGGTGGAGGTGATGGCAGAGGTGGCAGTGGGCTGGGAATGATGGAGGTGGTGGGGGGGTGGCAATGGGGAGAATTAGTGGAGGTGACCGTGGTGGTACTTGTAATTGTGGTGGTGATGGTGGTAGGAGTGAAGGTGATGGAGGCAATAAAGCTGGTGGAGGTGGCAGTAGCGATGGTGACTATGGGCACAGGTGGCGGTGGTCATAGTCGGGATAGGGGTAATGATGACACTGTGGTAGCAGATGATAATGTACAGTGTTGGCATTTGATGAGTGTTGCAAGTAATGGCAACACAGACATGGTAGCAATGGCGTTGGGAATGAAGAAAATAGACGTGTTGAAATCAAACTAGGCACAAAGCAGAAAACTCCAGGGCTGATTACCTGGCTACTGAGACTAAAGCCCCTCCCCCCATTTTGCTGCTGCCATCTGACAGGACAAGGTGGGGGAAGAGGGCACCTAGAAGGGTACCTGGAGAAAAGGGTAACGGACTAGAATGAGAGCAGCAAATAGGATGGTACTTCCCAGGTTGGAGGATCTACAGGGCTTTACGGGCTCCTTCCCGGCCCACCAGTTTGTTCTAAATAGATCTCCGCCTTCCGTGTGGACTCCATTTTGGGTTTGTCTGTGAATGGCGATTTCCATTTATGCATTTGAGAGGAAGAACAAAGTAGAGAGTAAAGTGGGTCCACCAAGGCAGGCTCCCTTAGCCCCCCCTGGACAAGCCTTGACCACACCCACCAGACCACACCCATCTCCCATGTGGAGAGGTCAGCAAGTGGGAGGGGAGGCCACATTCCAGTGGCGGTAGAATGCCCCACTGGCCACACCTGGCCCGACACCCCCACAGACACCGAGCTCTGCTGAGGGACACTCATCCTGTTCTGCCACAGATAGCGAGGTGAGCAATTAGGCTCAGGGATCAGAAAACAATTTATTTTGAAGAAAAACAAATTGTTGCGCCTGTAATCGCCTGTTCAAACAGAGTAAACACAACAGCCGTGGCATCTCTGGAACTCAGCGGCATTTCTCACACTCCTGCCAGCAAAGACAACAAATAATTTGGACTTGAACCAGGCTAATTCCATCTCCATCAGCCAAGGGTTTGGCGGCAGCATCTCCATTATCTCACATTTGATTCACTGGGGGATTAAGCACAATGAGTGGCAATTAATGTCACCCTGCTGTCACCTCTTCCTGGTGACTCCCCCAGGTTTCCAAGGCCGGACACTATGCTGAAGCAAGGCTCAGGGTTAAGTGTGGCATCCCTGTGTCCTGTCTGTAGCTAAGTCTTAAGTGGTGATGACAATGACGGTAGGCGCCACTAAGGGCTCCCTGGCGGAAGTGACCTGCTCAGCAGGGCAGGCTCGTCCTCCAGTGAAATAACATCCTCCTAGGGCCACAAGTGGGTACAGTCCCCCTGGTGATGATGTGCCCCTCCGCTTTGTTTGACCCCCACTTAGCGGGCACCACTGCATGACAGGCTACCTACTGGAATGATCGGTACATTTCCATTCTACCCTCAAGGAGTTCTTAATCCAGCAAAGGAGATAGACATTAACCCATGATGGAAACACAACATGAAAATGATTTTTTTCTTAGTATTATAGTGGCTCAGAAAGGAAGCACATAACCGTGTTGGAAGAGACTTCTTGGAATAGGTCATCGCTGGCTTGGCTGGGAACCTCCTTTCCATTCAACCCAAAACAAGGTTGATTTGGGGTCCAAAAGCCTGAACGTCCCCTGCTGAAGGTAGGTACAAGTCTCCCCCATTCTATCACGGTAGTTTAATAAACCAGCTTCTTGGGGTCCTTAATTTTGTGGGTACCTCAGAGATCTCGGTCTGGAAGATCCCCAAAGCGGACGGATCAAACCAACGTGGCCTGTGGGCCCAGAGTCGTCTTGGGTTGAACTCTCCACATGCTCCCTCAACCCAATGCCAGCGGCCTTGATGGGAGAGCATCCCACAGACATGGGCCAATCAGGCCGCCAGCACTTCCATGCAAGGCTGAGAGATGGGCATCACCAGTCCTCCCCTCATGAAGCTCACAGTCCTTCCAGAGCTAGAAGGAACTTGGGAGGTCAGCCATCCCAGCCCCGCCTCGTGTAGACCAGGACGCTGAGACCAGACAGCGTGGAGCGCTGCCCAGCGTCTACATGAAGCCCAGTCCTTGTCCCGCTGTGCTAGAATGTTCCACGGGGAATTGTGTGTTTTGTCTATGTCGAAAGCAATGTGCGACAACTAGGCAGCTCTCAGAAAATACCTGCAGATGCTAACACTGATGCAGCAGTCTATCACGCAGGACAGCAGAGTTTTAAAAGCATGGGCTTTGGCGTCAGACAAACCTGCCTGTCATCTGCGCTCCATTACTTCTGAGCATGTGATGCTGGTCACATTCTTCATGGTCCTCAAACACCACTATTGTCACCTGTGATATGTGATACTGGTCTCACAGTGAGGTTTAAATGAAGTCCCACATGGAGAGCATGTAACATAGTGTTTGGCACAACAAATGGTAATAATAGTATTAGGTACTGAATGAATGGCTCCAAGAAGAGCACAGATGAGGACAAACAGACAGGCCAGCCAGACCCCTAATGCAACACCAACCACGGGGAAGGCAAGCCCGCTGGGAGCTGGCCCTGGGAGAGGCCTCTGCTCACTTCCCCTCCCCCACCCTCAGTGACACCTGACCTTTTACCATATCGCTTTGTCCTTCCGACTGTAATTCCAGCGGTTACACACTGTGTGCCCCTGATGGAGATCCACGTAAAACTATCATCAGACGTCTACACTCTCAATGGATTGTACGATCTTTCCTTGAGTCCAACCAACCTTTACTCCAACACCTGCTATTGTTCAATAGCTTTCCCACATAACAAAATTGTATAATCCTCACGACATCCGTAAAACGCAGGCAAATCAAACCCAATTTACACGAACAGACATGGGCTCAGGAAGGTTAAGTGACAGGACATGTGGTCCCACAGCTAGCGAGTGATGTGATGTCTTCTGACACCGATTGGTCACCTGTCTCACCCCAATGCAGAAGTCGTTTTCATACTGAGTTGGAGGCAGAATAGCAGAGGCTAGAAGCACGAGCGGTAGGCCTAGGGGCTCAGAGGACACACTGCTTACCTCCCAGCATGCCTCTGGCCTGCCTCCAAAGACAGGTGCCCTGCTCAGCCCCCAAATCTTTGCGTCCCTCGAGCAGGAAGAGAGGGGCCTGCTCTCACACTCCTGATCTTCCCCCTGCCCTTAACTGAACATGGGGCAGGACTCCCACACCACGGTCTGCATGTCCCAGGGGGATGTTTGGAACCCTCCAAAGGGAAATACCAGGGCCCACGTTGCAATCCAGGGTTTCAGAAACCTGTGATTCACATACCTCCTTTGCAGTTTTTCCCATAGCCACATACCACCTATATTATTATTTAATACTTTTCTCTAGATCAATTCACTATTTTCACTTCGCCAAATTTATTTTAGCAGTTGTATTACTTCCTTTTACCTCATCCTAAGCAATACTATCCATAAATATCATAAATCTGAAGTACTTGTTCTAATACACATTAGAGCATAGCTATAAGCATTTCTAGAAAATATATCAAATTTTATAAAAATATCTCCTTTGCATTCTATTCGTGGCATGAAGAGATGATTAAAATAAAATTCTATTTTGATAACTCACACGAATTAGCAAATGAATGAAAATATTCAACCCATTAAGATCTTCATGAAGGTCAAAAGTAACATTTGAATAGTCTTTTATTCTTTTCCTTTGCAAATTATTACCCAGTTATATACATTTACCTGAGTAAAATAAATGTTTTCTACCTCTATCCAGAGTCTATAAACATGAACAAGTCATTAGCTTCTAAAAGGGAGGGATGGGGGTGAGGAGGGGTACCTCTTTTCTTTTACTTCTCATTCTCAAATGCTCAAAGGAGTGGTTTATATTCCCAGATTCTATTGCTTAGTCTTTTCCCCCAATTAGAAATGTTCACTCCATGGTCCAGGGTTGAAATTTGGTTCCCTCATATAATTGTGAAGCTGTTATTATTTTATGCCCTGTTTTAAGGTAAAATCAAGTGACTCGCTCCAAATTCCAAGACCAGTAAGGAAAGAACTCAGGACTCAAAAACCTCACCTAGCACAAACTTCAATCTTTTCCTAAGCGGAGAGAAATAGCAAATAGCTAGTAAAATAAGCAGGGTTTGTGATTCACCAGTGGCGAGCACACAGCACTTTATGTACCTTTTCTACAATCCGCACAGGATCCCACAGAGATAATGAGGAGTAAAGCGTCCTAATTAATCCCGGGGAGCAATTAAATACTATGAATAATTTAATCAGGTATTAACATCACAAATCCTCTTGACAATGAAATTGCACCAATAATTCAGAAACCTATACGGACATCCACTTAAAAACTTCAAAAACTGTAATCTCAACTATCTCCCCCTTTCGGACCAAACAGGCCTTATCATTTCATAGGAGTTGCCCGAATTGGATCAGAAAACCCCAAGTTGGGGAGGGAGGGAAAGTCCTTATCCTGACTGGACTCAAACCAGCCACGTGACGAGTTCTGAAACAAATCTGTCCTTCTTACCTTTTCTTTCTCTCCCTCCCTCCGTTCTCTACTTAATTCTTTCTCTTTTCTTCCAATAAACACTGACTCAGTGCCTGGTGTGTCCACAGGCTCCAGGTTTACTAAGAGCTACAAAGCCACCCCTGCCCTCCAGGAACAAACAATCTCGTTAGGGAGGTGAAAAAAAAATTAGGACAGAGACTTAATGTCCTCCCCACCCAGGCTAAGTGACCTAATATCCAGGCCACTGACAGTTCCAGAAGGGAGCGAGGAGTCGTGCATTCATCCATCCATCCACCCTTCTCCCAGCATGCACTGTGGGCTGTGCAGGCATCGAGCCGGATGCTTGAGATGCAAGACAACGAACAGGTGTCCCCTCCAAGGAGACCTCAGTCTAGTGGGAGACAAGACCACTGTGCTACAAGACGAGGTGCTCTCTCAGTCACAGTGGGGTGCTGGGGAAGGCTTCTTGGAGGCGTGATGTTGGGGAGAGTATTGAAAGGTAACTAGGAATTAGACAAATGAAAGAAAGGGGACACTCACTGAAGCAGAGAACACACAGGAAAAAATACAAAGGGCACTGAATACAGCCTGGTTCAGCGGGGGTCAGGGGGTGTCTGGAGCAAAATGCCTCTACCGGGAATAGTCAGAGGTGGGCAGAAACTGAACCACAAAAGGCCCTTTGGACTAAGAAATCTGGGCTTCATCCTGATGCGAGGACACAGGAGTTTTAGCAGAAGGATGACATAATCAGGGCCAATCCACAGGCATGGTCGTGGAGAAATGACATGGGTCAGTTCCACACACAGCAGCTGCTGTGGACACCGAGGGCTGGCTGAAAAGTGAGGGTCAGAGAGCGACCCTGGGGCCCGGGAGGGACGTCCGCAATTCTGTCCACCGTCCCGGGAAAGAGGGAACAGGTTCTGTGGGAAAGAGTTGGTGTGAGGAGAGATATGAAAGTGTGTGGACGGCAGGGCTTCTGAGAAGAGGCGACAGAACACGTACACACATACCCATATGTATACACATGACACACAGGTATATATCTATGTATATGCATGACATGTGCACATGATGGCAATACACACAATGGTGAAAGTCCAAATCTGGAGAACCCCTTTTCACTGTTTTCCAATCCTAGCTCTGAACCCCCCTCTTCTGAGCAGGTGTTTTCAGCTGCTGCTTTTCTCTGCATCGCCTCATCCCTTGGGTGCTTGGCTAGCATTGCACTCAAGCATCCAAAGTGACCTCTTTCCCAAATGCCCACTGGACTGTCGACTCCCTCTCTGCCCCTTCCCCATACCTTCTCACACACACTAAAAAGGGTTGCGTCCAACCACATGGTCCCAAGAAAATCCGAGCCCGGAAGCCTGTGAAGAGAAGGTGACATTTAAGGAGACAAGATGAAAACAACATTTGGGGGGAAACAATGATTCTGCAGAGTTAGTCTAGGGAAACTGAATCACTGGGTTATGCACAAGGAGAAACAAGGGAGACGAGAAGTAAAGGGTTGGGGGTCCTCACACAACAAACCTTCCCCCTCACCTACTACGCAGCCACACTGCGCATGTAAAGGAAGACGAGGTCCCTGCCAGCAACCCCTCACAGACAACCAAGACCCAACGAAATTCAATAACAAGCTCTCTAGGGTCCAGAGGTTCCAGCACAGCCGGGAGGTCTAAGTGCTGCCAACAGGAGTGGGCAACGGTGCACAGCCATTCAAACGGATGGTTAGAGACCATCAAGGGACATGGGGATATGTGCACAATAACAATGTCACATGGCAAATCAGCGCCCCAAACTGAGAGTTATACACAAGGGAAGTATAAACGAAAAAAAGAAATAGAGCAACACAAAAATAGTCACCAAAACTTTAACACCAGCTGTGTCTGGATACTGGAATGATAGGTGACTTATTTTTCTTTGATTTGCTTTTCAGATTATGTGTAGTAAGGGTACTTCATTTTCTTTGCATTTTTACAGCACAATGGCTTACTAGAGGATAAAAAAACCAGTTCCCACCAGAGGGGACTCACTGCCAAGGAGCATTCAGGAGCCATATTAATCCTTCTCAAGGACCCAAAGTGTCATGTATTAATTGCAGAAAAATATAAAGCAATGCCGCCTGCCCACATGTCTTTCTTAATCCTGTGCAATTATATCCACCCTGAGTAATGATACTCTGCAAAGATTACTCATGACACAGACCAACTTTTCTCACCCAGCCCTCCTGCTGTACCCTCCCTCCTCCTCCAGTCAGCTCTTGGGGAGAAAAGCTCCCCAAATTCCCGACTTGAGCCCGCAGCTGGCACCCAGGGAAGCACGACAGTGTCCGTGTTCTCTCTCTGAGATTCGTGGTTCTTGTCATCCCATCTATTTCGTCCCTGTCACTGCCTCTGACCCGCCCACCTCCCTCCTCTCTGTCCAGAGAGGGGCCATGGGCAGGAGGGGGTCTAAAAAAAACCAAGGCGGGAGCAAGTCAGATGGGCTTTACAGGTGGAGAACCTGAGGGCGGGGGACAGTGGCTTGGTGGTTGGGCCAGGTTTAGAGCACAGGGCCCATAAGACCCCAGGAGAGGGGATATTCTGATGGCCACCCTTCAGAACACACCGGAGACTAGCAAACCTCACGGCTCCCAGGGGGCTGCTTCAGGCCCATCCACAAAGCTGACCACTGGACCACAGGAGGTCAGGGTCACTGGAAAGCCACGATCCAAGTCAGAATCTGAAAAATAAGAAGCCAGAGACAGTGGGGAAATCAGGACCTTGGATGAAAGGTGGGGGTGCCAGGGAGAGCAGTGTGCCACGGCTGACTTATTTAAGCTACTTTCCACCCAGAACTGAATTAGGTTACATGTGCCCCGGGATATGAGACTAAATTCTCACCATCTCTTTGGCTAATGAACAAATACTTACCAGCCCTGAGCTGGACGGGAACACGGAGAGTCGGAGGTATCTGATCTTGTCTGGATGGTGCTCCTTGCCCAGAGGGGAAAGCCCTGGGAACCTGTCCCAGGTGTGCACAATGGTTCCCCAGGGCCTCACCTGGGGAGTCGCTGAGCACACGGTTGGACCCAAATGAAGAAGTCACTAGAGACCCACCCACCAAATCATGATCATTTCCACCTGTGTAATGGGAAGGTTTGCTCCAAGTCATCCACCTAATTTCAGTCAATTCGGCTATTGAAATAAGGAGTACGGTTTGAAGAATGAGCAAAAATTAAAGGCTGACCAGCACGTGTGAGGAACGTTTCCTGGTCATGACAGACTGGATCGATTCTGGTTCTCAGTAGTAAACCGTATTAACAATCTGTGGTTAGACAGAAGTCATCCTCATAGCCCACGGCAGCCCCAGGGGATTCCTGAAAGTAGTATTCAAGTATCCAAACTGGATTGGAAACCAAAATGGAAAGAGCACTTACCTTCCTTTCAGTGACCCCAGTGAAGGTGGGGCACACTGGTAGCACCATCTAAAGCGGCCCACGTCTGGAAAGCTTGGTTAAGGCTTTAGGCCAAAGAGCCTAAAAGGCTATCGGTTTAAAATGCTTGTGCTTTTTCCTATCACGGTGATTTCCAGATTCCATTTGCCTTGGGATCCAGTCACCACCACACGGGTTCTCCACCCATGGATTTGTGGATGGGCTGGTCAAGGGACCGACATTCTTGGACCACCAACCACCACCAGGCACAAAACTCCTACAGGCCTCAGGAGACACTGCCAGTCTGGGAGCAGGACTAGAGCCCACAAGCGCTGCTCACTGCTCCTCCCGGCTCTGAACGTTTGCATATGAGCTCAGGAGGAAGGCCCTGGGCCCTCAGGCCCCGTAGCAGCTGTGACAGGGCCTGGGGAAATCAGCAATCTGCTGCCAGGCCCAGCGTCCTTGTGCATGTCTGCTCAGCAATAAACACTTTGACAGTCATTTTAACGACTCTCTGGTCTCACTGCCAACACCTGGAGCTACTCCTGTCAGGAGAAAGCAGGAAGTCATACCCTGAATTTACAGTGGAAGGCGTACTGAGCTGGGGGGGGGCCAGAGATCCAGGTGTAGTCTTGGCCCTGCTGTGTGGCCTTGGGAAGTGTTTTAGCCTCTCTGGGCCTTGGAGTCTTCATCTACCTCTACAAATGTCAGGGTGGATTAAATGACATCAGTGTGTCCTCCCAGCTCCTGCGGCCTTCCAGTGCACAGAATTGTCCCGTGGAGCTAAGCGCATCCATGAGAGCAAGCTCTGTTCCCCATCTCCCAGAGGGTGTGACCCTGAGCCTGACAGGGCACTGCCCCTTCATTCTGCCTACACTGATCCAGAAAGAAGAGCTACACAGGGCAGGGGAAGAGCACAAGATTTAGAATCAAAAGCACTGGGTCTGAATCCTGCCTTGGCCACTTAATGGCTGTGGGAATTTGACCCATTCCATTAGCCTCTCTGAGCTGCTTCCACGTTTGAGAAATGAGGATAACACATCACTGAGCACACAGGACTATCGAGAGGAACAAACAAGAAACGTATGTGACAGCAGCCCATAAACCAGTCTGTCCACACGGGAAACCCGGGCCAGGCAGGCGTGGCCCCTGGGAGCACAGCTGACCCTGCGTGCATCTACAAGCCATTCAGGAGTCCTGGAATCATTCAGCTGTGGTCCTCCTCCACGCAAACGAGAACCTGAAAGTGGGCTGCCTCAAGAGTCCACACGTCCTGATGAAGTCCCAGGGGGCTCTAAACTCTTTGCAAAGCTTAGGGTGCAGAAGAAAGTACTAACAGGGACTACCCTCTCAAGAGCAGTTATAACTTGAAAGAGGAGACAAGACTAACAGAATGTGTCATTAACAGGCTGTCACTAGTACCATCTTTCCTAAGGCCTTGGAAAGGGAAAGCAGCCGGGAAAATGGAAGCAATGGGTGGGATGAACCTCGGGAAGCTTCCTGGAGAAGTAGTTCCAGGAGCTGGGAGCCACCACAGAGCTGGCTTTCTCCCCACTCAGCAACCACAGCCAACCACCTCTTCAACTGCTGACCAACGGGGCTTCAGAGAGGCGAGAAATGGCAGCCCCGGGCGATGCTGGGACTCTAAAAGAAAACTGTCCCCATTCAACCTAAACAATGCAAAGGCCTTCCGAGCTTTGTGCCTGCCCTGCCAGAGCTCCCAGCCCCCTGCCCTGTGGCCTCTCCTTCTTTACAAGCCACGCGGCCCTTTCCCTCAGGTGTGAAGGTTGTCGGCACTCAGTCATGAGAATTCACATGTATAGCTTTAGATAGTCAAAGGTTGTGATGAGCAGGCTTCTATCAGACTGGGGGCTCCCCAAGCTTAAAAGCTGTAAACTCCCCCCTCAGACTGGGGGTCGACCATGGGTCTCAGAAACTACCTTCTGGGCTGGCCGAGTGGCGCGATGGTTAAGAACTCGCTTGGGATGCCAGAGGGCCCCGGTTCGGATCCCACATATGAGGGCCAGTGACACTGCCCTCTACAGCTAAGATGCTGAACAATGGCTCAACCTGGAGCTGGGCTGCTGTGAGTCGCCGGCGACGGCGTGGGCTGCAGTCCCTGTGGCAGTGGGTTGCCATGGGCTACCGTGTGTAGCCAGTAGCCAGCGTGAGCGGCCAGCAGCCAGCGTGAGCGGCCATCCAGAAGCCGGCGACTGATCTGCCTCACCCGGGAAGAGCGCAATGATGGTGCCAACTTGGGCCAGTGAAGCAACATCCTCCACAACTAGACTGAAGAACAAAATTACAGCAACTTGTCTGTTCCCCTTCCCCCAATTCCCCAGCACTGTTCCCAACCCCCCAATTCACCAATAAAAATCTTAAAAAAAAAAAACTGCCTTCAATTCCACCAGGATGTACGGAGCACCAATGACTGAATGCCTCGCACCTCACAGGACACCAACATGTGCTCCGCGGGCCAGCCCCTCTAAGGAGACAAGTCCAGGCAAGAACCATGTTCGTCCTAATCTGTCAGAACTCAGCCATGCCAGCAAGCACATGGGCAGGATGAAATGTCTGAAGGCTATAAATCTTAAAAGTCTGCCATGCCAAGTCTTACAAATACCTAAATGTAATAATTCTACGCACTTCCCCCATTTTCTGATATAATAAAATGAGGTCATCAATGGCTGTCCACACAGATATCCCACGGGGACTACTTTTGGTCTAGAGGGATAAAATGGGGAACCAGGCTCATAAAGCCACACCTCAGGAGAGGCAAACTCAGGCTGAGAGCTCTCAGCACCATGTTGCATCAGACTCTCCACAAGCCAAGATAAACGACTAGTTAGGTTTTCCTTATGAAATGCTATATAGGGTGGCAGAGGCAGACACAGAGTCCCCCACCTCCCCCACCACCAATTTACTAAGGAGATCCAGCTTTCAAAGGCTCCTGCCTCTTCCTTAATGCTTGGCAGGATGCCCAGTACACTGGTGTTGGCTGGAATCATGAAGAAAGCATCAGGATCTTCAATCTGATAGAAGATACCGCATTCTTCTCAGAAGAACATAAGCCCTCCAAATGCACGTGGGCAATCTGAAGATGGATAGCTCTCTGAGGTCGCCTGCACTCAAGTTAACCAAACGTTGCAGTTTCATGGAGAAGTAACATCTCCCTCAAAAAACATGTAGTAACTGGCAGGCTGAGTGGCTCCGTTGGTTAAAAGCTCGCTCAAGAGTGCATGCTCTGAGCAACAGCGGTTCGATTCCCAGCCCGAGCTGAGCTGCCGCTGAGCTGCCAACAGGCTGTTGACAGGATGGCTCAGTTTAAAAAAAGAAAAACTGTAGTAGCCATCAGATGATAGCCCAGTTTTATTCTGACAAGAACAAAAAAAAACAACTATAACCTCTTGTCGCCATCACTTTCAAAAGAAATGGTTATTTGAACACCAAAAAACGGGAGGAAGGCCATGATTTCAAAATGAAAGATTTTTCTTCTCAAGATCACACGGCTGACATCCTTTTCCTCACATTTCCCAAAGAACTGAAGCACACACAGAATGGGCCGACATGGCCCACAGGTCAGTGCTGCAACCATCCATGGTCCACACAGGTCCCCCTCTCCCAACTAAATAAAACTGGTTCTTGTATACCCATGGCAATCATCTCATTGAAGGCTCTTTCCGTTCAAAATCACCGTGGTGCCTTTTCTCTCTTGGCTACGCTCTGAGGAGGGAAGCACCTGTGTTCACCTGGGTTCATGCTGTCCAAACCGAAATTAGTGCTACAAATTTCTAAGTCCACATAGTCTAATCAGGATCATGAAAACTCGACCATAATTAACAGTCAACTTATCATTGGAGCTGTCATTACAACACATAGCTGGGCGGAACAAAGTTCAAGTGTGGAATCTTAAACAATGGAGTTCCAGTGATGAAACAAGGGAAGCACGAGGTCTTCATACACAAGGGTGATGTTACTGACCCAGGGTCAACAGGGAAGTTCTGAGTTACTCTCGTAGAGACGAGCTAGCCTCAAGCCTTCCATAGACTCCTGACCACGGTGTCCAAGGGCAGGCCAAGTCAGAGGTCCAAACGTGTTGTTACGGGAGAAAACAATGAAAATGATGCTTGGTCTTCTACACTATACATAAAACTATTCCCTCTTAACAGGCATTACTATTCCTGTTTGATAGACAAGGTAACTGAGCGTCAGAGAGCCTGTTCGTTCAACAGCCAACAAATACTGAGTCTTCTTTGTGCAGGCACTGGGTGAGGTGCTGTGACTTTGCCCAAGGTGACACAGCTGGCAAGTAGCACAAGGATCCCCCAAACCCAGTCACCTAAGCCCAAGTCCATTCCATTCCATGGCTGCCTCTCAGGCTAACGTCAGTTTTGTGGCACAAGGCCAAGACCAAAAGGCCATGGCGGCAAGGACAACACAGTCCATCTCCAGCTTGCTCCTCTGCAAGGAAAGTCAGTATTGATGATCAATTTTCTCAGACACCTGCTGTGTCCAGGAACTAATCAAAGCAGCCACCAGTGTCCCATTAGTCGCAGCCGTATCCACGGTGTCCAGCCCAGAACTGGGTGCCAGGGGCTCACACACTCTAAGCTAGTGGGCAAGACAGAAACATCCCAGCAAAGCACACATGAAACCCTGGAGGAGAAAACTGGGGTAAAAGAGGGGCGGGTTCTCTCTGAAGTTACAAGGTTTCCTAGCAATGGGGTCAGAAGCCAGTGGGATTTGAAAGGTCCATACTCCTTGGACCGATAACTGAGACCGCCAGTGTGACCCTCTTAGGCTGCCTCAAGAGTATGGAACCTATTCCTCAGGCATGGCCCTCTGCTGATGGCATGTGCCCCATTCCAGAGATTTTGGAAATAATGTCAGTCATCCACTCTTGTTGGCCGTCCCCTTTGCCAACCTGCCACACGGTTGCATCAGAGAAGGGGCCAGTCACATGAGGCTGTCCATCTCAAGAATGCCAAAATCTCCATGAATGCTTGCAATCAGGGAGGTGGGGCGACAGCATAGGTCACGTAACTGAGGCTGAACACAAGAGGCTGGCCTGGATCAATAGATGAGTCACACAGTGACTATAAATCCTCAGGAGCCCCAGTGCTCCTCACACAGACAGCATCTCCTTCTTCACTCACCCTTCCTTCGGGTAAGTTCCCAGCTGGCCTGGCCCAGGCCTGCACAGCCTAGGTGGAGCAGGGGACAGACAGGCCAGGTCTCTCTCCGTTTTGGAAGCTACTGGGCCTCTGCCTTTCCAACCACGTTCATGTTTAGAGGGGATTCAGGTTGGAAAGAAATGCGGGCTGGGCTACTGTGCAGATGGTCTCTGGTCTTCTGGCCAGAATGTAAACTCTGCAAAGCAAAACTCTCCTGTCTTGCTGGCACACCCCTAGAGGGGCAGGCCTGACGCTGGGCACAGAGGGGCATTCCACAGAGGCTGCCCCAGGTAGCCTGTGAATGGGCTGGAAGGACTTCATGAGCCTGTAAAGAGAGGCTGAGCTTTCTCTCACAGAGCAGGGAGAATGAGTCAGAGAACGCTACAGATGGGGGAAGATTTCAGGAGCCACGGGAACCCAGCGCCTGTTTTAAAGAGAGAAATGCTGTGAGAGAGCAATGACTTGTAAGATGCTGGGACACAGCTTCCTACTCGTCTTGGTCCCCTCACCCAAGCTTAGGCTTAAGCAAATGGCACAGGCAATGATCGCTGATGACATCTGGTGAGAGATGGTGGTCCAAAGGACCACAGGAGTCCAGACAGAACCACAGGGGAGCCTGCCTTTTCTGACAACTGGCCAGGGATCATGGCCAAGCTCAGTGGAGTAGACCATGAGTTTGAACTAAGAGCTTTTGCAGAAGACAACAGGGTGCAAAGGTCCTCTGACGTCCTGACAAACTGTCTGTTGCGTGGGGATGGGTAAAATCCCCCACCCTAGGTGGAGGTTTGTGGTAATTTCCTATTTGCACTCAGAGAATCCGTGCTGGGACTGAAAAGAGACCTGAAAGGTGAAGTGCTCCAACCTCTTGTGCGAGAACGTAGGTCGTTCGCTGCAGACTCACCCAGCAGAGGCCAGAGGCAGGCTGGGAGAGACACAGAAGTGGGTTCCACTAGCTGGGCTACGTAAATCTTGGAAAAGGCTTTCTGTGAGCGAACACAACTCTAAAAGCAGCAATGCTAGGAGCCCCAGCCGA